TATTTCTAATGTCCAGCCTAAACCTACTCTATAGACGGAGTAGAGAGTATGTGAACTAACCAGATTTGTTAACAGATATTGTAACAAAGTTAAAGCTGGGTGCCGAAGCTTGTTATGAGGCTTGTTTTTAGAGAGCACTCTTACAACACAATGACCAAATGTATTTTCTTTCCTTGTCAGATTAACTCTTAGTTATTCCTTAGGCATATGTTATATTTAAGTATTAAAACATATTTTGTGGGAGCAGTATGGATTTTATTAAGACGGTGTTTAGATTACATTTCTGATTTGGAGACTTATAACTCATTTTTTATGGACATCTGATTTAACATATCATCTTTTTTTCCCTGAAATGTTATTTCCTGTGTATTCCAGTTTTACTTGAACTGAATAGCAGGCTCATTTGAAAAACAAAACATACTTATATTTTCAGCACCACGAGCTCCAACTAACTGGAGACTTGGCAAGCTTCTGGGTCAAGGTGCATTTGGCAAAGTATATCTATGCTATGATGCTGATACAGGAAGAGAATTGGCAGTTAAACAAGTTCAGTTTGACCCTAACAGTCCAGAAACCAGCAAGGTAAGAGACCTGAAACAGGTATTTGTAAAGGACATTGTGAGAGTGTGATCTAAACAGATGTTGCTTTTCTCTTCTCTTTGACTCCTTAAGTCACATGCTTAATCTGTCTACATGTCTACACGATAGAGATTTCATCTTATTAAAATATTTGAGAAGATAATTAAGTTCAATAATTATACTGTTCCATCACATAAGATTTGCATTTCCCATGTATCTTGCTGAAAATAACATGTATTATCAGATTCTGTGCAACCTGAAGCTATAAAGCCCAAATACTAATCTAATATTTAAGAAAACTCATGCTGCAGAAATATTGATGTAGTTGAATGAAAAATGTAGAAACTAACACGTCTTTTCGTTCATTGTACAATGAACCCAGCAAAGAATTTTGCTAAAGAACAGAGTTAAGTGAATGTATTTTAAGTACAAATGCATGTTGGGGGTCAAGTCCAATGCCAATTAACCTAATGTGGCTGAACCCCAAATTGTTTCTCCAAAAGCATTTTCACTGCTTTTGTTGAGCATGGCTTGGATTGGTCTCATCTGAATTTGCCCTTTAAATAGTCAGAAAAGAAATAATGTGAAAGTGTCACCAGTGGGGCTGTCTAGATCTACCTTCTTTCAAGTTGAGTCTGCTGGTTTTGTTACAGACAATAATGAATTATTGTATTTTCAGTCGTTAGCATTGCAGTCATTATTGCTGCAGGAGAATGAGCTGGATTCTACGCCAGCTCTTCAAGCATCGTGTGCAGAACTGACTGAAGCCAGTTTGTAGACTCTCTTCTGGTGGCATAGGAGCAAAGAAAGAACCGGTGGTCGGGTGATTGTGGTTTAAAAAACGTAAATAATGAGTTTGCTCTGGAGACGACAAATATAGACCCCGTGCCCTCAGTAGTTACTGTTCAGTGGACAGCCACGCTTGCCATCTCTTTTTTAAAACAAATTCAAGTCCTTACCAAGAAAGGTTTTTTCTAACTTTGGAAATTTTTGAGTACCACAAGTGATTTGCAATGGATAAACAGCCAGTTTTAATGAAGGCCTTCCATGTGGGATCTCTGCAATCCTGTAAGATTTCATTTTAGAGCCAGTTTTAAAAATCTTATACAGCAAAACTTTACAAACGGGAAACAGCTTTTTTAGGCATCTTTACCTGCTTCCCATGCATTGAGGAGGAAAAACAATTAAACTGTGTACTTGGGGAACTGATGCATTTAGATTTACAAATGTGGAATAAAATTACTTGGAATAAAATAAGAATTAGGATTAAAGATTCCTGTAGATGGATCTACATTAAGAAAGTGTATAACCCAGTGTTACAGCATGACTTTTGAATTCTGCCATGCTTAACTAAATTGTCAGATATGTTATACTTAATGAGCTGTGAAATGAAGAGGGTGAGGACTCTTGGAGTTGAGAGA